GCCAGCCAGGGTCCCACCTGCTCACTCAGAGGTGCCCCTCAGCCCCTCACTCCTGGGGTGCCTGAGTCCACATGGTGGGGACCTCTGACCCCTGCCTTCAGCCCAGGCACAGAAAAGGGTTTGGAGGTCACCTTGCTTTTGTGTTGCGCTTACAGACAACTGAGTCTACAGCGGCGGGGGGGGACAGGTGGGGACTCTGGGGACACCTGGGGACGCCTGGGCGCAGGCAGCAGCTGCCTCCCCACCACTGTGGGAACGCTGCGGTGTTCAGCAGGTCCAGCCTGCCCCTGTGGGAAAGCCCCTCTGAAGAACGTGCTCCCCGACTTCAAACACCAGGACCCTCAGCGTGGCCCCTCCTGCAGGGCACAGACGCTGGGCTGGGCTGGTCGGCAGGTCGGAGGCTGAGCCCCTTCCACACCACGTCACAGGCTCCTGGGTGACGCTCCCTGCACCACCGTCCTGCTTGGGGGCTCAGCCTCGGACCCTCTCCCGAGAGCCCCTGGGGGTTCCATGGGGTCAGCGCCGAGCACCACCCCACTGCTCACCCAGCCCAGCCCACAGCCCTGCCCCTGCTCACCTGGCCCTGCCCCTGCTCACCTGGCCCAGCCCCTGCTCACCTGGCCCTCCCCCTGCTCACCCGGCCCAGCCCACAGCCCTGCCCCTGCTCACCTGGCCCTGCCCCTGCTCACCTGGCCCATCCCCTGCTCACCTGGCCCTGCCCCTGCTCACCTGGCCCAGCCCATGGCCCTGCCCCTGCTCACCTGGCCCAGCCCCTGCTCACCTGGCCCTGCCTATAGCCCTGCCCCTGCTCACCTGGCCCAGCCCATGGCCCTGCCCCTGCTCACCTGGCCCTGCCTATAGCCCTGCCCCTGCTCACCTGGCCCAGCCCACAGCCCTGCCCCCTGCTCACCTGGCCCTGCCTATAGCCCTGCCCCTGCTCACCTGGCCCAGCCCCTGCTCACCTGGCCCTCCCCATGGCCCTGCCCCTGCTCCCCTGGCCCTGCCCCTGCTCACCTGGCCCTGCCTATAGCCCTGCCCCTGCTCACCTGGCCCAGCCCCTGCTCACCTGGCCCTGCCTATAGCCCTGCCCCTGCTCACCTGGCCCTCCCCCTGCTCACCTGGCCCTCCCCCTGCTCACCTGGTCTTGCCCCTGCTCAACTGGTCCAGCCCATAGCCCAGCCCCTGCTCACCTGGCCCTGCCCACAGCCCTGCCCCCTGCTCACCTGGCTCAGCCCCTGCTCACCTGGCCCTCCCCCTGCTCACCTGGCCCAGCCCATGGCCCTGCCCCTGCTCACCTGGCCCTGCCCCTGCTCACCTGGTCCTGCCCACGGCCCTGCTCCCGCAGGTTGAGGGCGATGCGGTGGGCCTGCTCCTTGGTGCTCAGCAAGTTGATGTTGAATGCGATGAGGAACTTCCGTGCCCCAGTGGCGGTTGCCCCCCAGCTGGGGACAAAGGAGCTGGGGCCAAAGTCAGGCGCCCACTCGGCCTGCTTGAGCTGCAGGGAAGTTCACCCCAGGTGAGGTGTCCCCCACGGGAGGGGCAGCCCCCGGTGGGGTCTGGGGAGGGCCCAGGCCCACCCACCCCTGCCAGGAAGAGGGGCAGGGCCCACCTCCAGACCCCCCACCCACAGGGCGGCACCTTCTCGGGGAGGGCCTCGTACTCCCCTGCCCGGATGGCAGGCAGGCTCCTGCGGCTGGCCGTCCGCGCCGCCTCTCCGTACAGGAACACTGCAAGAGGACCCGCGGTGAGGCTGACCCTGGGGACAGACCCCCCGCGGCGCCAGCTCCCAGGCAGACGGCAGCGTGGCCGGTTCCCCACCCCTGCTCGGATGCCCTTGAAAAGGCCACAGCTGGGAGGGTTGGGACCAAACGTGGGGGATGCTAATGGCAGGATCCTCGTGTCTCTCTTTGAAATGTGTTTTCACTGCGTGATAAACGTAACCGCAGAAGGAGGAACAGAGAAAAGAACAGAACCCGCCAAAAAGCCCCAGCCCCTGCTGGACTGTAGACGCGGCTGTTCAGCTGCCCCCCCCCCCACACTTCAGCCTGTGTGGCCCTGGTGGCCACTGGGGGACAGCGGGGGAGCCTCGTTCTCACCCACCCGCCAGCCCCCACGGTGGACGCACTTTTCCCTGCTTGTCTCCATATGATTCGTATCATTTTCTGATTTAGTTAATTCTCCCAAGTGAAACTTCTATTTTAGGGGTTGCGGGTTTTTAAGGCAGGGGGCGGGGGGCGCACACCTGGCACGTGCAGCTCCTCTGCCAGCCGCTGGCCAAAGGCCTCCGCGCAGAGCACACACTCATCCATGCCGACGCCCCGCACCGGGATGAAGGGGCAGACGTCCAGGGCCCCCATGCGTGGGTGCTCCCCTGCGGGGACGGGAGCGGAGTGGGCGCGAGCTCCTCTGTCCTCTGCAGCCCCGAGCTGCTCTCACTGCGTCAGGGAGGGGCCGGCCCTGGGCACCCCCGCCCCGCGCCGGCCGCAGCCCAGCTGCCCCCAGCCTGTGGCGGCCATGGCAGCGTCCCCCAGGGGGGTCTGCAGACCGTCCTCACGGCCACGGTGGAGAGGCCTGAAGACCCAGGAGGAGTTTGGCACCTTGGGGATAAACCCTCCTCCTCCCAATAGTCACAAAAATAACTTTCCAGGGGCCGCGAAGCTGGACGCTCAGCTCTCAGGGCGTCCCGGCCAGGCTGGAGGCGGCCGGCGCTACCCCTCCCCCGGCAGCGGAGAACCCAGACTACGATCAGCGTCCTGTGGCTGGCGATGCCTCCACCGCGGTCAGACCCAGCCCCGGGCGAGCCCCCCAGATGACCAGCTGCCCAGCCCCCGCCTGCCTCGCCTGCACCGCCCAGAACCGGCGCTGTCCGTTCACCACTTGGGGTCGCCTGTGAATTCCTCCACGAGGCCTGGCTGAGACCGGATCCGTGTGTGTCCACCAACCTTTGACCCCGCCCGCCCCTGCTGGTTTGGCTGTGGGCTCCCGGCACCCCTGCCCGGGGCCTGCTCAGAGGCTGGCTGGGTGCGGGGGAGGCCCCCACCTGGCCATGGAGGCGGCCGTGAGGGGCCGCACACAGCCCCTGCAGCCACACCTGGGTAGCCCTGCGGACAGCACACCCCCGGCCCCGCCCTGGGCCCTCCTCTCCCCAGCACCCTGGACAAGGGTCAGGCCCACCCCCGGCCCAGCCTCACCTCGGTGCCGGCTCATGTCGATGAGCCGCGAGGCCACCCGGGCGGCACTGAGGGCCCCCTCCACCACGCGGTCCGGCCGCCCCACGAAGGTGTAGACGGTGCGGTTGGTGGAGGGGCCTGCGTCCACGTCCAGCAGCACGCAGCCCGGGGTCTGCGAGATGGCCTGGGAGATGGCGTCGATGACCTGGGGACAAAGCCCAGCCCACGCCTGAGTGTCCCCGTTGAGAGAGCAGAAAGGGGCTTCGGAGGTGGCTGCAGCCCACGGGGGAACGGGCCCAGGAGCCCCGCAGAGCGCGAGCCCCAGCCCAGGAGCCCGCACGCCCACGCGTGGGGCCAGCAGGGAGGGCGGCAGGCGCAGCCCTCAGGAGACTGCCCGGGGGCAGTGGCTCAGAGAAGGGGACACAAGCCAAGGCCATGCGGGGGCAGACGGCCAGGGTGGGGGAGGGGCCCGAAGGGTCTGGAACCTTCTGGGTGGAGGACGGCTCCTGGGCTGGGTGGCTGCTGGACCTCTCTGCGCTGTCTCTTCCAGGTAAGGGGTGGTGACAGCACCTGCCTCCCAGGCTGTAGTGTGGAGGCCACACACCGGGGGGGACCTGCGCACAGCCTTTTGGGGTCCTCGACTGGCCATTTTCAGATGAGAGCACCAAGGCCCAGAGGTCCACCGAGCCCCCACCGGAAGCCCCCGAGAGATTCCTGGGCCCGCCACCAGCCCTGCAGTCCCTCCCAGCTCTGGCCGTGTCCCACCCACCCTGGGCCAGTCTCTGCCGAGTCCCATCACCGTGGGCTCGACCCTGGGACCAATAGGAAGTGGATCCATGGGGGGACCCTCCCCACTCCCTTCTCGGCCTCAGCCGAGACCCTCAGCTGCCCCTGCCAGCCCCCCGGAAACTCAGCCAGCCCCGTGGGGGCCTCACCTCCTGGTTGTTCCCCTCCGAAAAGTTGGGGACACACTCCACCAGCTGGGACATGGCTGGCGCGGGATCCAGAGGCTGCTCTCTCAGGCAGACAGAGGGAAGCGGCTGGGGCCTCCGTGCCGCGCCGCGCTGGGGCTTTATGTGCCCGTGGCACCTCCCCGCCGGCTTCTCATTAACCAGCGGTCCCCGAGCAAACAGGGCAGACGGAGCTGCCACCGAGGGGTTAGGAGGGCGGCTCCACCAGCTGGGGCGCGGCCCCCAGGAAGGAGTCAGCGTGCGGGGCCGGGGCTGGGGTTGCCTGCTGAGGACCCCAGGAGGCCCTGGCAGGGGGGTCCCACCCGGCTGCAGCCCAGGGCCACCGGGTGACCCCTCCGTGTGACCCTGCATGCAGCCCTCAGGCCTCTGTCCCCTCACACGGGAGACCGAGTGTGAGGCCCCACACGGCCGAGGCTGGCGCGGGCAGGCGGGTGCGCGCATGGGGGTGCGTGTGCCCGTGACACTCCTGTGTGTGACCGAGATCACGTGTTGCTGGGTGCGTGTGCGTGTGGACGAGGTGTGGGCTGCTGGGGCCCCCGAAGAGGCCCTGCTCTCCCTGCGCCCCAAGGCCGGAGGCTCCCTGGGAGGTCCAGCGGCACCAGGGCCACGCGCAGAAGGGCCAGCTGCTGTCTGGAGGCTGCGCCACGGCCCACGGAAGTCAATCATTTTAATCGGGGCCACAGGCCACGCGGCTCCCCTGGTCCCAGAGTCCAGCCCTGCCCACCGCCAGGTGCCTTCACGTCCCGCTGACGCCTCCCAAGAGCAGGTGCCAGCAGTGCCGGGAGTAACCGCGGGGCCTGGGCAAGGAGCGCCCGGTCTCGGACCCCCAGCCGTGTGGGCCTGTGGGCCGTGGGGACCCCACCTCCTGTGGCCACTCAGGGGGCCTGTGACTCGGAGCACACAGAGTCCCCCAGCCGGGCCACGTCTGGAGGCTGGGAGGGGAGGATGGGTCTGTGTGGGCTGAACTGTGCCCCACAAAAATCCTACGATGAAGCCTGGAGGCCCAGCACTTGAGAATGTGACGGGACTTGGAGACGGGGTGATCAAGATAAAACAGGTCACTGGGGCACCACCCAGCCAGAGCCCCCGGGGGCCGCTCCAGCCCAGGCCTGGGGGCCAGGTGCCCCTGCCAGCTACTTTCTCCCTGACGATGCTTCCACGTCGTGGGCCTTTCCAGCTGGAAGAGACACCCCCAGCCGATTCCTAGCCCGGCAAACACCTGCCCTGCCACAGTGCACACCTGCGACAGGCACAGCACCCACCTGGAGCCCACCTGCCCAGCCGGCCCAGGCATTCGCCCCCTGCCCTGGATCACCCCCGGGCAAGAGCCTGCCCAGCTAGACGCCACCCGACAGCCCAGAGTCCACAGAAACTGAGCCCCTCAAGCCCTTGCTCAAACACGCCACGCTGCCTGGAAACCCCCTCCGCCTCCTCGTGGCCGGCTGCCCAGCGTGGCCATGTGTGGCGCGGAGCACCCTGCTCTGGAGTCTGCGAGTAATGAGCTTTCTGGGCAGTTGGGTCCTGGCTGTCACCCTGCGCGCCTGGTAAGATACAGCCAAGGACGCTTCACCGCACCCTCCCACCCCGTCTGCTGGCACCTGGGGAAGCCCCCCACCCCCTGCACCCCCGGTCGAGGTTCTGCGGCCGCAGCCCTCCCTGGGCCTGGGTCCCGGTGCCGGCCCAGCTTGGACGTGGTCATTACCACGGTGGAGCTTCGCCACCCCAAGGGGCGAGGCCAACAGGCCAGAGCCCCAGGGGCCGGCCTGCCCCTCCTGCCAGGCGTGGGCTTCGCCCTGTCCCGACCCAGCCCGCCCAGCAGCAGTCGTCAGAGCAGGGGCCCCCGCGGGACCCAGCGCACCCCCTGGGTGCCCAGACAGAGCAGGGACCAGGCTGGGGCCCATCTCCTAACGTGCCGATGCCACTCCAGGGCCTTGGAGCCGGGCGCCCCTCAGCCCCTGCGGGTCCTCCGAGGCCATCCTCGCGCCGGGCTGGCCTGGCTGCGGCTCCTGCTCCTGCAGGGAGGTGGCCCATGGGGCTTGCGGGTAGACGCCCACTCCCTGGGGTTCCCTGCGTCTGACGCCACAGACTGGCCCCTCGTGGTGCCACCTGCCTCCAGAGTCAGCTCCCAAACAGACGCCGCCTGGGCGGGGGCTGCTGGGCCGCGCAGGGCCTGGGCTCCTGCCGGAATCCTTCGCTCCTGGGCGAGGGGCTGCGCTGCGTTTCCCAGGGCCCGGCCGAGTCCACAGCCGACCGCAGGAACCGACCCGGGTCCTTGCAAGGGCGGAGGGCAGGTGGGCACAGTCCTGCAGGCTGGGCCCTGCCCCTCCGGCCGCTCTCCACAGCCAGGATCCCAGCCGGCACCTCCTGCAGGCGGAGCAGGGAGCCAGGCGCTCTCCACGCCCTCAAAGAGCCAGAGGTAAAGGCAGCAGGTAAACAGATGATTTTAATAAAGGGCAACAAGTGCAGCAGGTGCGGGCGGCGCGGGCTGCGGAGCATCCGCACGGCTGGGTCCGCGGAGGGCACCCGCTCCCAGGCGCTGTCGGTGCGGCCGGGCGGCCCTTCCCCCTCGGGGGGTGCGCGCAGGAGGCACGTTGGCCCCCAGGTTTGGAACAAACACGTTTATTGCAGGAAAGGCGGCGGGCGTGGCGGGCTCACCAGGCGAAGAGCGGCTTGCTGTCCTCCTTGGAGAGCTCGCACAGGCAGTTGAGCAGCAGCAGCGAGTCGCCCAGGAACTTGGGGGGCACGATGTCGATGACCAGCTTGCGCAGCGCGGCTGGGCTGCTGTGCAGGGGGTTGGCGCGCAGGTCGGGCCGCTGCTTCAGGATGCCGTAGGTGTTGATGAGGAACTCGCTGAACACGGGGTGCACGTCGCGGCTGTAGCCCAGCTTCTCCAGCCGCGCGGTGAGCGTCAGGTAGCGGTGGGTCAGCTCGCGCAGCTTCTTCTCGTCCACGGAGCCGTCCAGGGACTTGATGGAGGTCTGGAGACACAGCGCACAGTGGAGGCGGGTCTGGGGTCACAGCCCACAATGGGGGCTAGGTCTGGGGTCACAGCCCACAATGGGGGCTAGGTCTGGGGTCACAGTTCACAGTGGGGGGTAGGTCTAGGGTCACAGTGCACAGTGGAGAGGACAGAGGTTGCGAGACACAGTGCTAGGGGCAGGAGAGAGGGAGGTTAGGGGTCACAGGGCACAGGTTGTGGGGGTGAGAGGGAGGCCCCACTGCAGTGCCAGGCAATTCCAGGGACCCCACGGGGCTGGGGCACTGGGGTCAGGGCAGCTTCTGGCCCTGTGTGGACGAGGGTAGGGGCAGGGCTGTCTTCCCAACAGCTTGGATCAGGGAATCCTGCCCAGCAGAGTCTGCACAGACAGTGTCAGGAACAGGAGTTGGGCCTCTGCCTTGGGTGCCTTACAAGCACCCAGCACAGGCACTGAGCACAAGTACTGAGCACAGGCACTGAGCACAAGTACCCAGCACAGGCAGCAAGCACAAGTACCCAGCACAGGCAGCAAGCACGAGTACCCAGCACAGGCAGCGAGCGCGAGCACAAGCACTCAGCACAGGCACCAAGCACAAGTACTGAGCAAGGCACCGAGCACAAGCACCCAGCATAGGCACTGAGCACAAGTACTGAGCACAGGCACCGAGCACAAGCACCCAGCACAGGCACGGAGCACAGGTGCTGCGCCATGAGGCCTGGGGCCCGGAGCCTCCTGGAAGTGTCCAGTCATGAGGCCACGGACCCCGGCCCCGGGCAGTGAGGGTCCCGGGCCACAGGGGCGCACCTGCTTGATCTTCTCTGGGATGTTGGACACGGTGAAGCCGTAGAGCCGCGTCACGCCAGGGAAGACGTAGGCCAGGATACGCCGGTCCAGCTGGAAGGCGATCTCCCCGACGATGCGCCCGTCCTTCTCGGTGCCTGCGAAGCTCTGGACCTCTGCCGGGGAGACGCAGGCGAGGTTCGGGGCGGGTCTGGGCCAGGGCGGCCGCACCGGCTGCACTCCGGGACCCATTTTAAGGAAAAGGACTCACTGCCCCCTTCACGGCCCCTCCCCTGCCCCCAGCCCCACCCTCAGGGAAAATACAAACCTCAGAGAAAACGGGAGAACATTTTGGTGCCAAAGGGCAAAACACCTTTTCCCTCGTCCCTGTTCTTAGAACGTTTCCTTGGGAAACGTGTAAGGGCAGCTCCTTTCCCTGCCCCTTTGGGATATGGGTAAACTTTTTTAAAAGGCTGGGAACCCTCTGGCATGTTTTCTTGTCCCTGTCACCAGGGTGGTCTGCCTGGCTAGGAGAAAGGGCGGGTGAGAGTCTCTCTGTCTTGGCAGCCTCGGGGCATCGAGGGCTGATTTAACGCTTATTCAATAATAAAACTGTTTCACTCTTTCCTACGCCTGTGGAGAGGATGGCTGGGGTGGCAGGAGATTCTGTTTTTAATTATTTCCGTGACGTTGCTCAGGACGCTCTGACAGCCCCTCAACCTGCTTCCAGATCCCCACCACGGCCTCCGACGCCACCGAGTCATCCACAAAGAGCCGCGCTCACCCACGCCCTTCGAAGCTGCGAGCTCTTTGAAAAATAAGATGCGTCTGGATTTGAGAGAGGTCGAAGTGCCCAGATTCAGTAAAATGCTCCCTCCAGGCCCTGAAGCCCCAGCTGACAAGACCGCTCCGGGATGGGCCATGCGGCCCCCCACCCCCACCTGACTCAGGCCCAGCCCAGGTCAGCGCAGAACCCAGGAGCACAGGATGGCTGGATGCGGCGCCCCGTGGCCCCAAGGCCTCTGCCCTCCCAGGAGTGAGCCCCATGTGGACCATCATGTCCACGGTCTGTTCTTCCGTTCCTACGGGAGACACTTCACAGCCCGGCTCTAACTTTTCCTAAAGCCCCTGGAACTTTTCCAAACACAGTCCCTGATCCAGACCCCGACACTGTCAGCTGGGTGAGGTCCTGTGAGATCCGCCGCTGGGGGCCAGCCCGGCCCTGTCACCTGCAGACATCTCTCCGCTCCCTCGAGCAGCAGCCCACACGCGACACTCAGAGCTCTACACACTCTGGATGTCGGTCCAGTACCAACACGTGAATTACAAATATCTTCTCCCATGGCTGGGCTGACTTTTCACTCTCTTGATACTGTCCTTTGAAGCACAAAAGTTTTTCCTTCTGATAAAGTCCAGCTCTTCTATTTTCCCTTTGTTGCTTATGCTTTTTGTGCATATCTAAGAATCCATCGCCAAATCCAAGGTTGTGAAGAGGTAACCCTGTTTTCTTCTCAGAGTTTTATGATCTCAGCTCTGTTGGACCTTTGATCCAGTTTTAGTTAATTGTTGTGTGTGTGTGAAGCAAGGATCCATCTTCATTCTTTTGCATGTGGATGGCCAGTGTCCCAGCACCACCTGTTACAGACTGTTCTGGTTCTGTCGGGTTGTCCTGGAGCTCTTGTCCAAGCCGCGAATGCACGGGTTTGTTTCTGGACTCTCAGTTCAGTCCCCCAGGCCTGGACGTCTGTCCTCACGGCAGCACCGCACGGTCATGATCACTGAGTTTGCAGCAAGCTCCTGAAGTAGGAAGTGTGAGCCCCTCCTCTCTGTTCTCCTTTCAAGGCGGTTTTACCTACTCTGGGCCCCTTGCATTTCCGCGTGAACTTAAGGTTCAGCTCGTCAATTTCTGCAAAGAAGCCAGCTGGGACTCTATAAATCAATGCAATCTCCATCAAAATTATGGATTATTGAACAATATAAAGTCTTCCGATCTATGAATACAAGAAGTTTTTCTGTTTATTTAGGTCTTTCTTCACATCTTTCAACAATGTTTTGTGGTTTCTTGCTCATGTCTTTCCCAGTCACGTGGCCGCAGAGAGCCCCGAGGAGTCGGGGATGAGAGCCAGACTCCCCCAGGAGCAGTCGGGGCAGACGGCGTGAGCAGGGCGCAAGCTCCCCCTGGTATCGTGCATTTCTCCGATCAGGAATCGAGCCCTTTCCTCCTCCCCCTCTGTCTAAAACATAAATTAGGCAGAAGAAATGTGCTATCCCTGAAATGTTCTAGAAATGACTTCTAGTCCAACCCAGGCCCTCTAAGATCCAGCCAAAAACTTATCCTTCAAATAAAAAATTTAATGCAATGGATAAATCTCTAGCCAGACTTAGGGTAAAAAAGAAAGAAGACAAAAATTGCCACTATCAGAAAGTGGAGATGACACCACCACAGACCCTACAGACGTTAAAAGGATAATAAGGAAATATTAGGAATAACTTTATACCGATAAATTGGACAACTTGGGTGAAATGGACCAATTCTTTAAAAGGCACAGACTATCAGAGTTCACTCAGGAAGAAATAAATGATTTGAATAGCCTCATGTCTGATAGCCTACATGTCACGTCTGACAGTTCAAAAGTAAACAGGCTTTCAAATTAACCCATCCTGGGAAGGTCTCGTGATTCATGGTGACATCTGTCCCTGAGTAAAGAACCTTACCACGAGTTCCTCAACTTGCTGACACACCGATCAGCGCACAACCTGCGGACACCAAAAAGGATGCGTATCTACTCAGAATCACAGTTTCACTGGTCGTCCCGCACAGAGACGTTCAGCCTGTGCGTTGCGAGCTGTACCCCGCGAGTCGGACTCTGCACGGTCTCCTCCAACGGGCAGGGACAGCTCTGGTGTGAAGAGTCCCCAACCTCCTCCTGGATATTCCAACTGACAGACTGGAAACCCCCAGCCTTGCTGGGGTGTTTTCTCAGGTCGATCCTCACATTGGCTTCCAACAAACCTTTACCAAATTATTTCTGCCTCAGCAGCCTTAATTTCAGTCAACACGACAAGAAAATGGGATTTGTAGAGGGGGAAAACATGCCTACGGAGAAAATTCAGGGCTCAGGTGTTTTCAGTGCTGAATTCTACCAGACATTTAAGGAATAAATAATACCAATTCAATAAACGCTTCTAGATGATTAAAGAGCAGGAAATACTTTCCACTTCACTCCTTCAGGCCAACGCTAACCTGATACCCAAACCAGAAAATGACGTCACAAGAAAACTACAGAACACGATCCCTCATAGGGAGCTCAAATTCTTAACAAAATCTTAGCAAACTGCATCTAACAGCACAAAAAAGTACCATACTATTACATCATGACCAAACGGGTTTTATCTCAGGGATAGAAGGTTGGTTTAACACTCAAAAATCAACCAATGTGATTTACCATAATAACAGATTACAAACGAAAACCAAATGCTCATCTCAATAGATGCAAAAAAAGCATTTGATAAAATCCAACATCCATCATGATAAACAAACAAACTGAACTTAAAGGGAACGTCTCCACCTGACAAAGGGCACCACGGAAACCTTAGCCAGTGTCACGAGGGAGGGTTCTGGACAGAAAGCTTCCCTGCGTCAGGGAAAGACAAGGATGTCCACGGTCACCACTGCTTTTCAATATTGTTCTAGAGCTTCTAGCCAGTGCAATAAGACAAGAAAAAGAAAGGAAAGGCACACAAATTGGGAAAGACACAATAAACTTGTCTTCCTTCACAAACAACATAATCATCTATATGGAAAGTCCTAAGGAATCTACAGGAAAATCTACTAGAACAAAAGAATTAGTGTAGTAAGGTTTCAGGCTCTAAGGCTGTGTTAGTCAGGTTTCTCCAGAGAAACACAACCGACAGGTGTGTGTGTGATGAGATCA